TAACTATATTTTATGTTTTATTAATTGACTTTTGATATGATTTATTTATTAATCTAACATATGAATTATATAATTTAAATATATATTCTTCTTGATTTTTTTCTATTTTATCTTTCAATATTTTTTCATATGTATTTAAAAAATAATGTGTTATTTTGGTTTTTTTTAACTCCAATAAGCAACAGATTTTTTACAACATGTATTTGAAAAACATTGATAAATTTATGCATAATATTTGTTATTATTACTATGGATAAAAATATCAATTAAAAAACAATATCTTTAGATCCTCTTTAACTAAGTTTTATTATATTAAAGGATGATAATCATTGTTCATTGTATAAGGTTAGTGACTTTTTAAATATATTTTAAAATATCATCTATATATTTACAGGCTATTTATTTCAATTGTATATTTCTCTTAAATATCTTACTGACTGATTCTGTTTCCATAGAAATACTAATTTCTTATTATGCAATTAAAAATGGCGAGAAATTTGTTTATTTCTTAAATTGATGAATCGTGCATTTTACTTAAAATATAAAATTGAGTAAACCCAATGTAATAAAATAAGACATTACATGCAACTGGACGATGTTCCATCACAACAGAATAGTAGTTGAATTATTAAGTAGTGAATTATCATAAATTTCATCTGACTAGTTTCATATACATGCAGATTTTTTATGGATTTATCTTAGAAATACGTACTTAAAATTAATAGATTCAAGCACAACAAAAAAATGAACGCCAAATTAAAGCGCACGTTCTATAATTAAAACTATTTTAGTGAATAATTAGAAAACAAAATTAGAAACAATGTGTAAATTATTTAACAATTAATTATCAAAACAAAAATCAATCTGAAAAATAAAAGAGTACAAAATGAATAGATAGAACTTAAAAAAAAAAAAAAAATACATAGTGCAAGCTTAGTAAATTTGAAAGTAATAATATTAACATTCTAAGTCAAGTACTAAATTAATTACATAATGAATTATTTATGTAAAAAATTAGTGGTTAATCTAGTAATATATGTCCGGCGTAAGGAAGAGTATGTGATATTTTTCATAACACGACAACCTCATAATATTATGTTTGTTTAAATACAATTAAACCACATGAATTAAAAACTCTCCATAAAAAAATGTAGCACAACATAATAATAGTACAATAGTTATTAAAAATAACAATTAATTCAAATTGATTAATTTTTACAGAAAATTATAAAAAATTAAAAAGTCAATTTGAAAATATCTGACATAGAACCTTTAAATTTTCATGCCACAAAATGATAAAGACGCGTTAAAATCATTTTGACGAATAACAACGAACAATGGTTATGATTGACTAAAATATTTAATTTGATAACACACATGTTTTTCAACAACTACCTTTCACTTGTAAACGTGAAATAAATGCAATCGTAAATCATATTTTTATTGATATTTAATAATTCCATTGATAAGGTATAATATCAATTTAACAATATTTATTGATCATTTCATGCTCAAATACGATCATTAAGATAAACCAAGCAATAATAAACAGACAATTTATGATTATTATGTTTACGGAATTACACATTGATTAGTTTTTATTGTGGCGAAATGTGCTTCCAAACTCAAAATTGATACTTTTAAACAAAATCTCAAAAATGACTTGTCCAATTTTAAAATTTTAAAAGTATTTTTGTTATAATTAAAATTTCCTAACCGAAAATATNTTAAAAGTATTTTTGTTATAATTAAAATTTCCTAGCCGAAAATATAAAAAAAAGTAATGGTTGCGATTTAAATTTCTTAAATTAGGGTAGATTTCTACCCTTTTGCATTTGGGTTGAACTTTAATTTTAATCGTAATAGATGCATTTAATTATTCAATTAGCCTCTAAAAAAAAAATTGTTAAAAAAATCAATAGCGGCTCTAAAAAATCGGCGTTTCCGATCTTATTGAACACCTGTATAAAAGCAATTACTAACGTAATTTATTCCTACTTCTATAGTTTTAAATATAAAAAGAGTACTTAAAGTAAATATTAAAGTATTTTTAATTATTATTTTTAGTCAAAATATGCACGTGTATGAAACAATAATCATATAACTTGGATGAACACTTGATTTAATAAACAATACAAATTATTATTACAAATACAATTTTATATTAAAATTTTATCCTTCTAAGATACACATCGAAATTCAAATTAATTTATTTTAAAAATAATGACATAATAACTTCCTTAAATTTTTAAAATATAATTATATTTCAATAGAAAATTAATTGAGGCAGCCATTTTCGGTAGCATAGTTTATTAGACTTATATAACCATTTTGAGTAGCTTCATAAATGGTATCTCTACTCCATGGACAATCATTTTCATGAGCAAATTTTATGCAATCAAAATGGCTATTTGCAGCAGCAAGTCTTGTTGTCCCTTCGTCCCACACACATCCATTAAAATGACTATATTTTAGGCAGTNTTGACCATTTGCAGCAGCAAGTCTTGTTGTCCCTTCGTCCCACACACAACCATTAAAATGACTATATTTTAGGCAGACTAAACGACCATTTGCAGCAGCTCCACTCATTGTCCCTTCATCCCATTTACATCCATTTTTATGTGCATATATCAAACAGTCAATATGACCACTAGCAGCAGCTTCCCTTGTTGTGCCTTCATCCCATTCACAACCNCTTCCCTTGTTGTGCCTTCATCCCATTTACAACCATTTTCATGAGCATATTTAATGCAGTCTAAATGTCCATTCGCTGCAGCTAATCTCATTGTACCTTCAACCCAATCACATCCATGTGTACGGGCGTATTTTAAACAATCTAAATTACCATGCACAGCTGCTGCAGCTATCGTATGTTTATCCCAATGACAACCTTTTTCATGAGCATATATCAAGCAGTCTAAACAACCACTTGCTGCAGCAACTCTAGTTGTAGAGTCATCCCACGGACACCCATTTTCATGAGCATATTTTAAACACTCTAACTTAATGTTTTGTGCAGCCGCTATTATCGTAGTTTCATTCCAAAAGCATCCGTTTTCATGAGCAAACATTAAACATATTAAATTACCATTAGAAGCAGCTGCTTCTGTTGTGCTTTCATCCCACGGACATCTATTTTTATGTAAATATTTTAAAATTTCTAGATTACCATTTAAAGAAGCCATATTAATCGCATCTTTATTCAATTCACATGCGTCTTTATTCATATTTTCGTGAATATATTTTAACATTTCTAGATGACCTTTTTCAATAGCACTTAACACAAAATAGTTTTGATCCCACTCAGTTGTGTCTTCATTCCACGGACATCCATTTTCATGAGCATATTTTAAACATTCAAAATTACCATTCATAGCAGCTTCCAGAATCGTATATTCATTCCATTCACAGCCATTTTCATGGGCATATTTTAAGCATTCCAAATGACCATTTTGTGCAGCTACTTCTGTGGTCCTTTCATCCCATGGACATTTATTTTCGTGAGCATATTTTAGACATTCTAATTTACCATATATAGCAGCTGCTTCTGGGGTGCTTTCATTCCAAGGACATTTATTCTCATGGGCATATTTTAAACATTCTAATCTACCATATAAAGCAGCTGCTCTTGTTGTCCTTGCATCCCACCGACATCCATTTTCATGAGCATACTTTAAACATTCTAAATTATCATTAGAGGCAGCTGCTTCTGTTGTACTTCCATCCCAAAGACATTCATTTTTATGTAAATATTTTAAAATGTCTAGATTACCATTTAAAGCAGCAACAATAGTTGCGTATTCATTCAATTCACATAAATTTTCGTGGGCATATTTTAATATTTCTAGGTTACCATGTTTAATAGCAGTCAATACTATATTGAATTGATTCCATTTACAGCCATTTTCGTGGGCATATTTTAAACATTCTATTTCACCATTAGAAGCAGCTGCTTGAGTTGTGCTTTCATCCCAAGGACATTTATTATCATGAGCATATTTTAAACATTCTAATTTACCATTAGAAGCAGCTGCTTTTGTTGTTCTTTTATCCCACGGACATCCATTTATATGAGCATATATCAAGCATTCCAAATTACCATATTGTGCAGCTGCTTCTGATGTACTTTCATCCCAAGGACATTCATTTTTATGTAAATATTTTAAAATTTCTAAATTACCATTTGAAGCAGCCATAGTAGTAGCGTCTTTATTCAATTCACATAAATTTTCGTGGGCATATTTTAATATTACTAGATTACCTGTTTTAATAGCAGTCAATACAATATTGAATTGATTCCATTTACAGCCATTTTCGTGGGCATATTTTAAACATTCTATTTCACCATTAGAAGCTGCTGTTTGAGTTGTGCTTTCATCCCAAGGACATTTATTATCATGAGCATATTTTAAACATTCTAATTTACCATTAGAAGCAGCTGCTTGAGTTGTGCTTTCATCCCACGGACATTTATTTTCATGAGCATATTTTAAACATTCTAACTCACCATAATAAGCAGCTCCTTGTGTTGTTCTTTTATCCCACGGACATCCATTTATATGAGCATATTTCAAGCATTCCAAATTACCATATTGTGCAGCTGCTTCTGTTGTACTTTCATCCCAAGGACATTCATTTATATGTAAATATTTTAAGATTTCTATATATCCGTTTTTAGCCGCATCATTTATTGTTTTTGTACTCCATTTACATCCATTTTCACGAGNGTTTTTGTACTCCATTTACATCCATCTTCACGAGCTTTTATTAATAATTCCAAAATTCCATTTTCTTTTGCTTTTCTTTTCGTATCTTTTTCAAATCGGCATATTTCATCGTCACCTGAATATCGTATTGCTATGTGATAATAATTGTTTATTAATATATATTAAAATGTCTATATTTAATAGTCT